TACATGTACTGTATGTTGTCACTACAATCCACACAGCCTTCTATTGGAATTTGCTTAACACTTACTTAGTACCGAATACAGTCCAACCAGTCACCCACGTGGAATGTCAATGTCAGGGTGACCACTTAATACGGGTTGACTGCTAAATACACGGTCCACAAAATAGGGGTCAAATGCCATAAACATTTTTCTTCCAAAAGCTTTTACGGAGGATAATCTGCTATCTGCAATTGAGGACATTTGAGCTCAAGCTGCTAACGTTGATTTCCGAAGATAAATTTTGAATAAATTGGCTCTGCTTTACCTAACAGTTCAAAAAAGCTGGAAGACAATACAAACAGGTCGTTTAGACTCAGTCAAGGTTGACCATGACTACTTATTATAATAATAATAATAATAATAATAATATTTAACGAGGGAGCCCAACTCGCCATAGCGGTTTTCAGAGGGGCCCTCATTAACTAATTAATTAAATAAATTCAATTATTCTGTAGGATCTGTAATTCCGACATTATGGTGTCATTGTTCTTGTCCCCCCATATAACATCTCCGCAATCAAAAAGAGGGCAGATTAGGGTATTGTACAAGGTAACTCTAGTTTGTAGTGGCAATACATTCCTGATTCTCCTGATTAGGCCTATCCTTTGATTAATCTTCGTGCTGATAGCATCGATATGATCTGTCTATGACATAGATTGGTTGAATGTCACGCCTAGGTACTTGAATAATTGTGTTCTCTCAATACAAGTGACCTCTACTTTAACCAAAATATCTTGAATGCGATTCAGTTTCTGATGACTTCCAAAGATAACAAAATTGAACTTGGATATTTTTAGAGTAAGGAGATTTCTAGAGAACCACTCAGACACTGTTCGCAAGTCAGCATTGATTTGATGTCCAAGATCACTGACATTTTTGATTGAGTAATAGATTACAGTATCGTTCGCGTAAAGGGTAATATCACAATCCGGAAGATCATTCACGTAAATCAAAAACAGTAAAGGTCCCAATATACCGCCTTGGGGTACCCCGACAGGCATTTCGGTAGCTGCAAAGTGAGCATCTCCAACCAATGTGATTTGTGACCTGTTTGTGAGACACGATTTAAACCGCAGAGCGGTTTCAGTAGTGTTCTTAGCTGCGAGGATCTCTTAATATCATCTCTTCACCGCAGTGCAAACATATGAATTTCATATATATAAAATCATCATTCTTTACTTGGATGGTTTATTTGGACCCAACACATTGCCCAGCTCCCAGTTGGCTTGTTAGCTCAGTTGGTAGAGCGCTGCACCGGTATCGCAGAGGTCATGGGTTCAAATCCTGTACGGGCCTGAATTTTTTTCAGGTCTTATTATCAACTACTCGTTTCAGTAGTGTTCTTAGCTGCGAGGATCTCTAAATATTATCTTTTCACCGCAGTGCAAATATATGAATTTCATATATATAAAATCATCATTGGTAAGACCGATGTTCGTCAGCTTTCGTAGTAGCAAGTGATGATCCATTGTATCAAAGGCCTTAGATAAGTCTAAAAAAACGGCACTTGCAAAGGAACCAGCTTCCATATTCTGAAGAATATTGTCTGTGAAATAAGCCAAAGTTGTCCCGGTTGATAACTTCGGTCTGAAACCAAATTGTTTGGATGTAATGATCTCATTGTTCTTAAGATAAGCATACAGTTGGATGTGCACGGCTTTTTCTAGGATTTTACATATCGTTGGCAGTACAGTAATGGGCCTGTAATTGTTAGCATCGCAGCGATCACCTTTCTTGAATAATGCTGTAACTTTTCCAAATTTCCAAAGGGAAGGGAAGATGCGAGTTTCAAGGGAAAGATTGAATAATCTAGTTAGGCTGGCACTGATAATAGTGGCTGAATCTTTCAGCAGACGCGCACTGAAGTTATCGAGACCGATAGCTTTATTGGTTTTGAGCTGTTGTGGCTGACGAAGAATGAAGTCTTCCATAATTGGCTCGAAAGTAATTTCATAGGGTAAACTCGAGTTTACCGTAGGTGTCGAGAAGATGTAGGACCTGTAAGAATTGAGCTTCTGCGCTAATTTGGTTCCAATTGTTGAAAAATGGTCATTGAGAATCTTGGCTATAGATTTATTGCTACAGTATTGAACACAGTCGGCTTCAATGCAGGAGATGGGAGTTCTTTCTTTGCGAGATGTTGTGTCGTTAAGAGTTTTCCATAACGCACTCGCATTAGATTTGTTTCCGGTAATAAGCTTAGAATAGTATTCCGACTTACATCTCTTTATCTCCTTATTTACGTAATTCCTAAGTTCCTTATAACGTGACCAATGATTGCCAGACTTTGATTTCAGGGCTTTACGATGGTAATGATCTCGTTTGTGCATAGCTTCAGATAGCCTTGCATTCATCCAAGGAGAACGGACCCCTTTAATTCTTGATTTTCTTGTTGGAGCATGACTATCGGCAACGTGAGTGAAAAGTTTGTTCCAATCGTCGACCGCGGAGTCAATGTCATCCTTGTTTAGTGCCAGCCATCTTTTTGTTGTCCAAAGGAAATATTCATTTGACTTGATATGAAGTTCCCCTTCAGATGTGAAACTATGCTGATGAAGTCTTCTGTAGAGGATGATGATGGGAGAGTTTGACACTGTTTATTGATAAACCGATGCCGATTGCCAAAATATGAAAAAGAAGGAACTTGGTTACTTAGTTTCCTTGACTCTTTCAGGTAGGCTACAGGTTACCACGCACTGTATGATGAACTGTTGATGACAATGGTTTTAAAAACAGCTGGAGTGTGCTCATCATAAAGAGATTTTTGAGCTGTAACACAAGTGGAACTGTCATCCTTGGAAAATGAGACCAATTCAAATATAAATCGAGTATGCCCTTGGTGTTATCGAGTGTCAATGTAAAAACTGTAGAATTGCTAGAGAATTGTTGATGTGGCAATACTGACTCTCTGTCCTTGATTGCTGATGCATTGCACTGTAGAAACAAATATAAAAAGTGGTTAACAATAGTGTTCAAATTAGTGTTCACAGCATTTTCCCCAGTGTAAAACAGCTCATCTTTTTTATCCTGAAATTCATAAATAGCTGGAATAACAGGTGCTGTGATGTGAAGACTTGTTTGTGTAAATGTAATTCCCTCTGAGGATTTGTTATTAAAGACCTGGTTCCAATCAATCGATACATTAACATCTGTACTGCAGTCAAATTAAGCTGCAATTATAGTTGGAGAACCAAAGACAGACCAGAGATGCATGAAATTCTGTATCTGTGCCCTCGGCGATAACATGAATAATTTAACTTGTTACTGCACTCTGTTATATTCGTTGGACATGGTATGCTTTTAATGGTAATCTGCAATAAACAGAAATTCTATGGAATATTCAAAATATGGAATGAGGTTGATTGTAAAACATTATCCACTTCCTAAATTTTAAAATTGTTAATTTCCTTGTGCTGTTAGTAAGCATCAACTTTTCTTGGAAATCTCACTTAAAATTAACATTTAACTCCCAGAGATGATTACCCTTTAAATTCTCTCTTAAATAGTCAGACATTATCAAGAAAACATGTAATGGGAAGACTTAAACTTGTCAGGTAGACCTCACACCCAATTCTTGTCACTTATTTACAAAGAAAATTTTTATCAGTGGCGACTGGTTTCTTCCTCGGAAACTTAGCGGCGCCAGTTTCTGCTCTTCGGTGAGCTAAAAGACAGAAAATGGTGAGGGAAAAAGAAACACATGACTAAACAATTGGTAGGAGCGAATTTTACCTCACTCGGCTTTTCTTCACGGACTTCGACTGCAATCTACTGAGCTTTCCAAATTTCGAAGAAGGTTCTTTACCCACCTACCATGTCTGGAGAAAGATTTGGGAAATTGTCGGGGGTGGGACTGGGGTGACACAAATAGAAATTTTAAACATAGGTATGCGTAGCATGCAAGAGTTATTTTTTTTTTAGCTGGGCGGGTTAAGACGGGGCACTTTGTGTAACTAATATTTTCATTTTTGGAACAGAAAAAGAAAATTATTTCAAACGGACGGAAATATCGCATTACTTCACCTTAAGAAAAAGAAAAAAACCTAATTTATCTGAACTCACACGGGTATTTTGTGGTCTATTAATTGTCTCTAATGCCTCTGTACTTCTAAGAAAAAGTAAAATGCATCGGTGCCACGCTTACTGTTGTCTCCTTCGGAGCAGTTGTTTCGTTCGTCACACAACGCCATCTATTTCACGTTGGAAAGAGAGCGCGTTGCGTGATGAGACCAAATAACGGTTGCGAAAGAGACTACGCTTACTACTGCCGTTCCTTATTCGTCTACAGTTAGTTGCCTGAAAATATAATTCCACGTTATTTTACTACGAAAAGCAAACTGAAACTCTGTTGTATCTCTAAAAGAGCCTAGCCAAAGATATATTGCAGCTTGATCACAAGGAATTAACACGCGATTGGATTAAGTTCAAGGTAGCTAAAAGCCAATTTTATTCGTAGAAAAAGTCAAAACGCGGAAGAATTGCGTAAAAAAGAAATTCGCCATCAGTAGCTTTAAGTTCCGTATGAAAGTTTTTCAGTGGGGTTGGAGTGTGCGTTTAGAATACGTGATCAAATGCGAGTTGTTTGCAAGGAAATGATTCGTGATGAAGCGAAGCCCAATTTGGCAAAATGGAATTTCATTGATGGAATGCAATTCAAGCACATGAAAATTACCTAATGCTCATGTAGTGCAATGATTGGGTATGTTCTTATTGGACTTTGAACGTTGTTTTCATGGTACGTAATGAAGTATAAGTTATTTGGCATGTGAGTTGGGAGTAAAGGAGCGGAAAAAGCACGTTTTGACTTAAAAATGGTACAAAAGGGTCAAATGCGAGCCTTTCATATCCCGATATATCTCGACCTTAATCGACGAGGTTCTCGCGAAGGCGACAACCATACACTAATCAAATGAGCACAAAATTTCTGGTTAACGTCATCCTAAGTGCACGGCCCGCTAATTGTATGACAACATTTACAAGAAAACAATACCCAAACGCTGTGATTGGTGTAAGATATCCAAATGCTGATATGATTGGTGCTAGATACATACTCTAATGCGGCAATCTGATTGGTGCGAGATACACACCCAAATGCGGCGATGTGATTGATGCGCGCAACATACCACTCTACTCGCAATCAGTTTTATTTTTGTAAAGAAAATAACACAAAAATAGGCAGTTGAGACTGCATATGGCTACCGATATGGCACAATTTTTTAAAGCATCGAAAAGAACCAGGGATTGTATGATGACGCTGGAAGGTAGCGTTGCAGAAGATTTGTCTCACAGGCAAAACAGAAAACCTGTCGCCTCCCACATACTTATAAGATCCCTGTTCCACAAGAGAAAGATGATTCAAGAATATAGTGAATAATTGACGCTCAACCACTTATTAAATGGTAACAAATGGTCATACTAATAATAACAATAATAATAATGATGAGGGTAACAAAAGTAATAGTAATGATAACCCTAAGGGGCTAATTCAAGAACCTCACTGTTTCTCTGTCGGTCTATTCTAGGCTCCAATAATAATTAAACTAGCTTACTTTTAATATTGATTTTCCTGTTAATTATAAATCATTTTCTCATTTTATTGCAATTCCATTTTTGTGAGACTCTTGTTTACTACAACAAGGCATTCCGCGCTGTATAATAGTCCGCTATTCCGCCATTCCATCCAATGGCGTCACTCTGTTGAACTTAACGTATCGTATTTCGGACCATGCTCGATTCGCAAATTTAGCGGTTCTTTTGAGAATTTGTCGCTGATTGAAATGTTAAAATGATCGCTTTTTGCATAAGTCAAAATTTTCTTCAAAGTTTCCACGATGTCCAGATCAAACTTACTTCGATATTTCTGCAAGGAAAAAGTCTTTTTTCAATTGCGTGCCGAAGACGCCTTTGTGAAATTATTCTGAGATGTTTATCATCTATTATAGAGTCACCGTTAGAACTGAAAAATATTACATCTGATTCAAACGGTAAAATGCCCTCTTTGCAGAAAAAATTTCCTCTAAATTTTCATGATGCGCCGATCACTCCTTTTAAGACATTTCTGCTAGGTAAAGCTTGTTTTGTTCAAGCGCCCTTCTGAAATGATTGCGAGATGTTTGTGGTCTTCTGTATTACATCACGAGACAAACAATAAGTAGCACCGAAAAAAAGTGTGATCACATGCTGATATTTCGTGTAAAATTCGAAGCAATTCGAAGAAATTGTCACTAATCGTTGAGCGACCGAAGATGTTCCGAAACAAACAAAAGCCAAGAGCGAGGAATATCGGGTAAAACTCAGCAGACTTCGTTGTGAACGAAGAGGTTGTTCGTATTCTATTGTTACATTCACTCACTCAAAGGACAACGTCGTGGCTTCACCTCCATAAGAGGCAGTAGCCATAAAAATGTACTGCATAACGAGGGCACGGGGCGAAAGTAAGCAAATTTTTCTAAAAGAAAAAAAAATGGGTGTGAGTACCTTTTCCTCATGGTTTGAAAATGGTCATAATCTAAGAATTAAGAAGCTGTTTATTCGTGGCGGTCACAGTTCGCTCAGTAACATCATTCGCAAATTCGGAGGTCATGCACAAGATATCTCTAATAGTTGAAATGAAGATAACAAGACTCTAACAAGTGCAAGATGTTATAATAATAATAATTATTCATCAAGTACTTGTCAAAAGATATCGAAGATATTATAAATGACGTAGATTACTGTTTAACATATCAATGTACATTATGTAGAAACAGTTGGCGAATGTCTGTTTCGCTTTCAGAACAAGATATCATGTCGCGGAAGGATGACAAGGTATTTAACTTAGGCATTTTCATATAAGTAGATAGATGGATATAGACCCCTCTATTATGACAGGCTCCAATAAATTTAAGGTGGTGAATCTAAAGAGGCAGTTTGAATCACAACTCAAGGAAACCTTAGCAGTCAGAGTAAAATCATCCACAATGAAAAAAAAAATTATGTAGAAGTTAGTTGTCATGCTTTAAAATTCTACCTAATCCCTAACCCTAGAGCTTATTTTGTTTTTTAAGAGTTACAATTCCGTCAACAATTATCGTCGAATAAGTGCTACTGCCAGTCTAAAGAAACTTGCCAAATTTTTGCGAATTGTTAAAATCTTGCAAGTGATCTTCACAGGAGCCAAAGTCCTGCCTCAAAGACTTTTAATTTAGAAAAACAAGCAATTTTAGTTTTTAACTATTCAAAGGCCATATTATGAAAGTCATGTGTGAATAGAATTACCCTATTTAACTAAAAGGTGCGACTTCTAAAAGTCAACGCTATCGCCAAAAGAACTGCTGATACTACACCAACATACTTAACACGCTACTTTGTGTTACTAACACCAAAAGAAAAATTCCACATAAACGCGAAAGGCGCAAAAATCTGATTAATTCTTTAGTTGTGATCTGTGGAGGATTTCCTGTTTTCTCTTTTAGTTCGTTT